GTGTGCGTCCCCCCCCCCCGCCGCGCGGGGGGGGGGGGGGGGGGGGGAGAAGAGGAGATGTAAGGGGCAATGCAAAAAAAATGCATCAAGGTTCTATTTCTACCAGCGCTGCACGGGTGCCCCGGGCTCAGTACCCCAAATCACTGTCTATATAGAATGAGCTCTGTGTGTCTCTGTCCGGGTAATTCGATTTCCTGCCATGATCTAAAAACATGCTGGAAGGCTAACACGATTTTTACAGCTGAACTCCAGATATCAAAGACACATCATTAAATGCAAGCGGTACCTGAATCTGGCCTGGGGTGGTCCCTGTACAGAAAAGCAGCGCAAAGAGCCAGAGGGCAGTTGCGCTGCAGTTTTTATGCGCAAACGAGGAGCATGCTGATAGGAGGAGAGAGCAGAGTGACAGAGAGATGAGCTGCTTTTCCTTGGCCATCCAATCACAGGCTGGGGGAGGGACAAGACCTGTAAGTGTAACTCAACTGCAGCAGAGAAAATTCAGGTATGGTCCCCTGCCAGACAGGGCTCTGCTGTGTGACTTGAAGCTTACACGGGGCCCCCTCTCCTCACTCCTAGGGGCCAGAGAAGCGGAGGAGTGAAAGGGAAATAAGCAGCTGGTAAGGACGGGGTAAAAGTGTATTAACCCTTACAGTGAACTTATCAGTGACTGTTATCAGTTACATTGTTTCCAGCTGTCTCTGCGGACTACATAGGAAGTGTTCTGTAGTCCTGTCCTAGAGTGACAACGCTGCATCTCTATGGTGAGTGAGAGTTGTCACCCTGGGACAGGCGAGATCTGTGCAGTAATACAAGTGTGAAGCTTCCTGTCTCCGCCCCCTCCTGTAATAAAGACTGGTCACTGCTGCTGTCTCTCCTAGTGCAGGGTGACTGGTCTTGTCTCCGCCCCTCCTGTAATAAAGACCGGTCACTGCTGCGCTCTCTCCTTGTGCAGGGGGACTGGTCTTGTCTCCGCCCCTCCTGTAATAAAGACCGGTCACTGCTGCGCTCTCTCCTTGTGCAGGGGGACTGGTCTTGTCTCCGCCCCTCCTGTAATAAAGACCGGTCACTGCTGCGCTCTCTCCTTGTGCAGGGGGACTGGTCTTGTCTCCGCCCCTCCTGTAATAAAGACCGGTCACTGCTGCGCTCTCTCCTTGTGCAGGGGGACTGGTCTTGTCTCCGCCCCTCCTGTAATAAAGACCGGTCACTGCTGCGCTCTCTCCTTGTGCAGGGGGACTGGTCTTGTCTCCGCCCCTCCTGTAATAAAGACCGGTCACTGCTGCGCTCTCTCCTTGTGCAGGGGGACTGGTCTTGTCTCCGCCCCTCCTGTAATAAAGACCGGTCACTGCTGCGCTCTCTCCTTGTGCAGGGGGACTGGTCTTGTCTCCGCCCCTCCTGTAATAAAGACTGGTCACTGCTGCTGTCTCTCCTAGTGCAGGGTGACTGGTCTTGTCTCCGCCCCCCCCCTGTAATAAAGACAGCTTACTGCTCCTCTCTCCTTGTGCAGGGTGGCTGGTCTTTTCTCCGCCCCCTCCTGTCATTTCCTGTAGTGGGAGGAGTTTGCTTCTGCACAGGGTATATACAGCACAGTGATGATGTCACTGCTACTTTTACATTTTGATATCTGGGTTTATAAAGGCATTTGGTGCGTACAAAGTGGATTCATATCCTATGTGGCTATCGAGGAATATATTTATATGAAAGATTTTGATGCAGTTTGGCTGTAAAGCTCCGGACTCCGGTCTGTTGCACAGAGGATGACAGGAGGCCAATAGCATTGCAGATTCGGGTACTTATGCCGGCTGTATGTAGAATACATTGTATTGTTTATAAACACAATTGTGTTACATTGTTTCTTTTATCGTTTCCGCCTGGAGATCGACTTTAAAGGGGAACTATGAGGTGAGTTCTTTTCACTCACCTCATAGTTCTAGCCGACCTGTGACAATGAGACTGTCACAGGTCGGCTCAGTAGATCGGGAGGTGAGGGAACACATACCGGCGTTCACTCACCTCTCAATCCTGTCACAGCTCTCTGCAGTGACAGGGGAGGGGCTGGATTCCCCCCTCCCCGCTCCGATCCTCCAGCGCTGACTGGCGGAACGGACGGGGGAGGGGGCGGGTACAGCTGGCTCTGCCTCTAGATAGGCAGAGCCAGCTGTCACTCACGCAGCTGGGCGGATACCGTCATCGATGTCGGGATCCGCTCCGGCTGCGGCGTCTCAGTAGACCGCGAGCTGTAGCTCCCTATATACTGAGCTCAGGGTGACGGGAGGACGCTAGTTTGTGTCCTCCCATTACCCTAAGGAGAACTATAGGGAAAAACACTGACCCCATAGTTCTCCTTTAAGCTATTTCTATTCTTCCTATGGGCCTGCACGGTGGCCTGGAATGTGCAGGCGACATGGACGCCATGGTGACAATGACGGGACAGAGATTTCCCAGCATGCTGTGCACACTCCCACTCACCCGGCCATGTTTGCATATATAGTCAAATAGCTCTCCTCCGGCCACGTATCAGCCAAGAGAGTCATCACCCAGGGGGACATGTCCTCAGATACTACAGACAAGGGTGTCATCACCCCTGGGGACATGTCCTCAGATACTACAGACATGGGTGTCATCACCCCGGGGGACATGTCCTCAGATATTACAGACAAGGGTGTCATCACCCCGGGGGACATGTCCTCAGATACTACAGACTAGAGAGTCATCACCCCGGGGGAAATGTCCTCAGATACTACAGACTAGAGAGGCATCACCCCGGGGGGACGTGTCCTCAGATACTACAGACAAGGGTGTCATCACCCCGGGGGACATGTCCTCAGATACTACAGACTAGAGAGTCATCACCCCGGGGGACATGTCCTTACAACTGGAACCAAAGTGGAAGTCATGTCCATTGTAACCAGATACATTGTTACATCTTAGAGACAGACCGAGGTCTGGGTGACAGAGCGACATCTCCATCAACCATAATGTGTCACAATGACGTACAGCGGATACGTACAGCTTGATAATGTGAGGGTGACGGAACAGCTTGAGGTTCTGGATTTCCCGCTTGATTTTACCGACCACATCCAGATTACGAATCTTCTGTCTGTTTAGGATCTTCACAGCCACCTTATGTCCCGTCAGCTGGTGTTCCCCAACTGGAAGGAGAGACAAGAGACTGTTAGACATTACACTGAATGTAGCAGGAGGAGTGAGCCTTCATGGAAGACCACCAGGTCCCCACTGAGCCCTGAAGACATTTTGACAGCCAGTTTGTTGGCCGCTATGATGGAGTCTCACTTTTCCTGTTGGATTTTTCCCAGGTCATGGAGAATATGGCGACGGTCCATGTGGAATGAAATGTGATGGATTCATTGTCCACCCTTAAGCGAAATTCTTGGGTGGATGGGCCTTTTAAGAAACATTCACATCTAGGCATGTGGCATGAAAAGCGGCGCTGTCATCTGGAGCGGCGATTGGCGGATGCCGTGTCACTAATGTTTTGTAAATATGAAATTACAAGAGCGGCGAGGTGTCAGTCTCCCAGCGGCTGCCAATTCCTCGAGACATTCTAAACATCATTAGCGGAGCCCTGAAGGGACGTATTATAATTCACCGCGCTGTAAAACACACAGGTGGATTTGGCTGAGTGTCGCCGGCGGTGGAGAACGGCGGACTGCGCGCCAATGTGAAAACTGAAAGATCGCCGTGAAAGGAATGAGAGAATTATTTTGCAAGAAATGTCCTGAAGTTAGACAAATTCACGGCGTTCATATGAAGGTCACTTATAATGAACACCGAACATCTGGCACCATGTCTGGGGGTATAAGAGAGAGTACCTGTCACCTGTTCTCTAGACTGAACCCAAATTCTGAGTGTGCCTATACACCTATGATGTCACTTGTATCTGATGATCTGATTGGGTGTTCAACTACCTTAAGGGCCTGTTCACACCGGATGCTGTGCATTCCGGCCCTATTCTGGCCGGAATGCACTGCCTCGCATTGCGGTTGGCTCACTTTTTAGTGGAGCAGGAGGGGGCGTGGCCGGCCATTGAAGTGAATGGCACCGTAGCCACGCCCTCCGTCCGCAATGCGATTGCCCGCAATGGGATCGCAAGGCACATAGTGCCTGTGGTCCGGTGCGATCAAAATAGTGCTTGCAGCATTTTGATCGCACCGGACCGCAGCTCGATCCCGTGCGGGCGATCGCATTGCAAAAAAATTAGCCGGCCGCAATGCGAGGCAGTGCGTTCCGGCCAGAATCGGGCTGGAACGCACTGCAACTGGTGCGAACAGGCCTCATACCGCCATATTGTAACAAAACGGTAGGTAGCTGAGTTTATAGTTTGTGCGAGCACCAGACACGTGCATGACGCCTGTGACCGTGCTGTCATTAGACAGTGAAGATCACAGTCAAAGTGCACAGAGCCAATCAGAGTGGTTAGCACTCCTGCCTGGCAGCATTGAGGGTCCCTGGGTTCAAATCCCAGCCAGGGTTTCCTTTGGGTACTCTGGTTTCTTCCCACATTTCAAAGACATGCTGGAAGTTAAATTGTCCCTCTATGTGTGTGAGATCAGGAGCTTAGATTGTAAGCTCCTTAAAGGAGAATTATGAGGCGAGGGATTTTCACTCAGCCTCATAATCTGAGCTGACCTGTGACAATGAGACTGTCACAGCTCGGCTCTATAGATCTGGAAGTGAGCGAATACATACCGTATATACATACCGCTCGCTCACTTCTCGATCTATCCCTGCAGAGAGCCGTGAGTGACAGTCCCCCCCTCCCCTGTCCGATCCTCCACTGCTGACTGGCGAAACGGACAGGGGAGGGGGAGGGGAAGCCAGGGCAGCGAGTCATTACGCGCTGCCTGGCTTCCTGATTGGCCGAGAAGCCAGCTCCATGCTACCTCGTCACTAGGAAGCATGAAGCTGACTTCCCAGGGGGCTGGTAATGACTCGCCCCCTGGCTTTCTGTTTAGCCGGAAAGCCGTTCCCATGCTCCCGTCACCAGGTGAGGAGGTAGCATGGAGCCGGCTTCACAGCCAATCAGGAAGCAAGACACCGTGTAATGACTGATTGGCCAGAAAGCCGGCTCCGTGTTTCCTCCTCACCTGGTAACGAGGGAGCATGGAGATGGCTAATCAGGAAGCCGGGCGGCAAGTCATTACACGCCACCCGGCTTCCTTAAAGGGATCGGTACTCAGTATCGGCGAGTACTGATAAAAAAATATGCTCACTCATAATCGATACCGAAAAACTGGTATTGGAGCATCCCTGATATATATACACAACTTGTACACTCCCATACTGGCCTTCTGTTGTCCAAACTAGACCCAGACGGTTCCACCAAGTCACATCTCATCAGACCGGACTGACTGCTATGTGCTCTTATCTCACCCATCTATGAACACGATACATTGTAGAAAGAAAGAATAAAACGAGAAGCTCTGCTCAGTCACAGAAGTCAGATTTCACGCAAACCTTCATCTATCATGAAACCTTCTCCTGCTGCACAAAACCTTTTTTTTTTTCCATTCTGCATTCCATTGCTAAGATTCCATCACAGTTCAGTGATTACAGTGTACACAGCCAATAAAAGCCGCCTCTGATAATACAGAGCTGGGGAGACTACAACACCCAGGAGGCTCCTGTAGAATCTTGAAGTCTCAATCCAATTGAATGTTAATAATGCTGCTTATCTTCTGTATACAGGTTGAGTTCAGAAGTCAAAGTCAGAGCACACCAACCTGTCTGCGGGTCACCAGACCTTTTTGGTGTGTTCTCTTTCCCCAAGTAGCTCTCAGCACATAGGTAGGTGGCCCTTGTCATTGTTACACATCGCTTCGTACAGGATGACCCACTCCATACAAGACGTCAGCTTTTCTCAACCTCTTTTACATGGAGGAACCCTTCAAATAATGAGGAGGTCTCAGAGAGCTTATTATATCTCCAGCTCACGGGACCTTATCATGAATAGTTGTGGATACAAATATAAGAATAAATAAAAAGAGGAATGCGGGATACTTGGCATATTTGACACCCAGGGCTGGTCTATACCACAAGATTGTTTTCAGTAAGAATAATGAAATTAAAATGAGAACTATGAGGTGCTTTTCCCTCACCTCATAGTTCTAGCCGACCTGTGACAATGAGACTGTCACAGGTCGGCTCAGTAGATCGGGAGGTGAGCGAACACATACCGGGTTCGCTCACCTCTCGATCCTGTCACGGCTCTCTGCCGTGACAGGGGAGGGGCTGGATTCCCCCCTCCCCCCTCCGATCTGCCAGCACTGACTGGCGGAACGGACGGGGGAGGGGGCGGGTACAGCTGGCTCTGCCTCTAGATAGGCAGAGCCAGCTGTCACTCACGCAGCTGGGCGGATCCCGTTGTCTAAGTCGGATCCGCTCCGGCTGCGGCGTCTCAGTATATAGGGAGCTGTAGCTCGCGGTATACTGAGCTTAGGGTAACGGGAGGACGCTGGTTTGTGTCCTCCCATTACCCTAAGGAGAACTATGGGGAAATACACTGACCTCATAGTTCTCCTTTAAACAAATATAAATAATGGACAGAAAGGAAGTAGAGACCATGAATATTATAGTGTTTAAAACATTGGTGGTCCATGGAAAAGTCCTCAGGTACGTTGATGGTCAGTGGAAAGGTGACCCTTACCCTGAGACAACTGACCCCTTAGATCAGTGGTTCTCAACCTGTGTAACCTCAGGACCCACATTTGTCCTTGGTCATTAAGTGGCGACCCAAGTTGCACTGCAATGCAACGCACAGTATTGCGGTACTGTGCGTTCCGGTGCGGGCAATCGAACTGCGGGTGGGAGGTGCGTTTAGGATGCCATTCAAAGATCCACCCAGTTTCCATACCTTACGAGAGCTGGAGTCCTCAGCCTGGGGTGCAGTGTGGGCTGCTGTGCTGTGACAGAGCTCCATCCATATGTGCATTGCTTGTACAGCTCCCTTGAGTGCCCTATAGACGTGCCAGGAGCCAGAATGTGATATCACTCCGGTCCATGCACCTCTACAGGGCACGCAAGGGAGTGGTACGTGTGGATGGAGCTCCCTCACAGTCATAGCCCCAGCCCATCCCACCTCAAGCGGACACTCTGCACCAGATTTTGAATGACTGCTTGGCGAGAGAACTGACAGGATAGCATAGTGGAAGGCACACAGTGACCCACTAAACATGGGGTCATGACCCACCAGTTGAGAACCAAGGCCTTAGATAGTTAAAAAAGAGATCATTGGTGTTTATAGTGATTTATCTGAGAGGCAGAAATTGTTCCAGCAACAATTCCGGTAACCTCTGAAGGAACCCAAATGTACCACAGAACCATGGTTGAGAAGACTGACCTTTTACAGATAGCTAAGAAGATCATTGGTGTTAGTAATAATTTATCTGGGAGGCAGAAATTGCTCATTCATCAGGAAACCCCGAGCAACCTCTGGAGGAACCCAAGACTTCCACAGAACCATGGTTGAGAAGGTTGCTGAACATCCTTCAAACGCTTCGAGGAACCACAAGCAACCTTTAGTGGAGCCCCAGGCTTCCACAGAACCATGGTTGGGAAGGTTGACCCCTTACAGATGGATACAAAGTTTACTGGTGTTTATAGCAATTTTTCTGAAAGGCAGAAATTGCTCAATCCTCAAGGAACCCCCAGCAACTTCTGAAGGAACCCAAAGGTACCACAGAACCATGGTTGAGAAGACTGACCTTTTACAGATAGCTAAGAAGATCATGGGTGTGAGTAATAATTTATCTGAGAGGCAGAAATTGCTCATTCATCAGGAAACCCCGACCAACCTCTGGAGGAAACCCAAGGCTTCCACAGAACCATGGTTGAGAAGGTTGCTGAACATCCTTCAAACGCTTCGAGGAACCCCAGCAACCTTTGGAGGAACCCTGGGCTTCCACAGAACCATGGTTGAGAAGGTTGCTGAACATCCTTCAAACGCTTCGAGGAACCCCAGCAACCTTTGGAGGAACCCTGGGCTTCCACAGAACCATGGTTGAGAAAGTTGCTGAACATCCTCCAACCCGTACATGAAGCCCTGAAGAGGATCTGAATTCTGGAAACTGTGCCCAAGAAAAGGTGGGTAGAGGGCAAAGAACTAGTGGCCGGCATTGCCTGTGCCCTCCTCCAGATGATCTTTTCCTTCAATAGATACATCAACAAGAGCAGCAAGTCAGCTTCCATCCCTCATAACGATGTATCAGGAAGGGCCGGTTCTCACCAGTACACGCATGTCATGCTTCTTACAACAAGTGTGTTCTGTTTACTTTTTTAAACTTTATTGGAATGTCACAAAACGACACTTCATTCAACTTTATTCACAACAACGTGTGATGCTGCATCGTGTTATTGTGCCAATGCACTGCAGAAAACAATTGCAGATGTGTCGCATTTTTACACAACACACCTGATTGGTGTGAACGGGGCACATAGAGAACAATTGTTTTCTATGTGTTTATACATTAAACAACACATCTAGTGTGAATGTGCCCAGTCAGCCACCCCAACCATTATAACAATGTATCAGTGACAGCAGCAACTCAGCCACCCCAACCATCATAACAATGTATCAGTGACAGCAGCAAGTCAGCCACCCCAACCATCATAACAATGTATCAGTGACAGCAGCAAGTCAGCCACCCCAACCATCATAACAATGTATCAGTGACAGCAGCAAGTCAGCCACCCCAACCATCATAACAATGTTTCAGTGACAGCTGCCAGTCAGCCACCCCAACCATCATAACAATATATAAGTGACAGCTGCCAGCCAGCCAACCCAACCATCATAACAATGTATCAGTGACAGCAGCAAGCCAGACAACCCATTGTTTATAGCCCCCCGGCCATCAATAGATCTATCAGTCAACAACCCCCCTTCACTTATGTTATCATTAGGAGCAGTAAGTCAATAACATCACTCCCCCCCTTTAGCTGTAATGGTAGCCCCCTCCAGAACGAATAACCCCATCCGGCGGACCGGTATAAGAGCACAGAGAGGGGGAGTTACTGTGCGATGCTACAGTGTATCTCTTCGCAGCGCTATTCACAGAGGCCGCTGCGCTCGTGTTAGAGGTCGCCCCCGTGCTCACCGCGCAGCGCTGCGCTACGCCAAGTGCGTAGCCCGGCACTCCCCGCCCCACCTTCCCGGCCAGCGCTCCGCAGCGCAGAATTGACTCAGCTTTTCACTTTTCCGAAGGTGCCGACCCCGAGCGTGTCCCCCAGGATGTAATGTCCGATCTTCACCCGACCATCGTGCTTCTGCTTTTCAGCCATCTTTGCATCCTGCTCGTACCCACAATGCAGCTGGGAGGAGAGGGAATGCCCGGCTGGCATTTGTCAAACGTCACCCAGAGCTGACCTGACAGTTTCCAGGTGCAGGTGGAGCCAATTGGGTCAAGTCATCAGTGGGGCACCGGTGGGAGGAACTGCACCCTGTTCCTGGCTCTGTCTGCATTGGCGTTCTGGATGATCCGGGGTTATCAAGTCCCTCCTTTTGTATATAGGGATGAATGAAAGTAAATGTTTCCATTTGCCCCAAATTTGGGGGAAGATTGGGAGATTTTGGCAAAATTTTGCCATTTTGGTGAAATGCATTGGAGTCAATGGGGAAGGTGAAATTAAAGCCCAGCTTTGGCTGTTTGTTATATGGCCCCCCATGGGTGTAAAACCAATGCTCACCCCCCAGCTGGGAGCTGTCCCCTGCAGTACTCTGTTATGGCCACAGGATGTCCTCAGTCTTCCAAGTTGAATGACGCCCAGTCATGCTCAACCTGTAGTCTAAGGAGACGCTGTGAGTGTGCAGGGTGTCATGGGGCCGCCTCCTCAGACCCCATTCACACGTAGCGACATACCTTTTGCAGCGGATCCGCACGGCCGGGATAGTGCGACTTTCAGGGCGACGTTCCAGCGACGATCCAGCGACGGTAGCGCGACCTTCTCCGTCGGGCTCCATAGAAAAAAGGCAAAATCGCGCAAAATCCGCCGAAAAAAGCGTCCGGTAGAAGCGACGCGCGACATGGAGTTAAGACAGCTCCATTGAATAGCATTGGCCGGCGACTTCTCGCGATATCGCGCGGCAAAAATGCGCGATATCGCGGTGGAAATCGCGCGATAATTCGCTACATGTGAACGGGGCCTAAGGGGGTGTGACAACACCAGAACCCTGCATGGTTGAGGGCGGCCCATCACCGGGGGAAGATAGAAGAGGATCCTGTGTGTCAATGTGGATCCTGTGCCGGAAGACTTCTGAAAAAATCTGCATAAACGTTTGTGGACAATGTTGTTCATGGTGCTGAGTGCAGCGGTAACATTAAAGGTCTAATAGACCCGTGATGTGTCCTTAAAGAGAACCTAAGTAGTAAAATATATCACCAGCACACCGAAGTAAAATTTTCAACGAGTGGTCATTTTATTGATGTACACACATCTCGTCACAAGGCAACGTTTCGGGGCCACTCAGGGTCCCTTCATCAGGCATGACCGCCATCAATAAAATGACCACTCGTTGAAGATTTTACTTCGGTGTGCTGGTGATATATTTTACTACTTGGATTTGAAGTGGCGCCATCCACTATGACTACAGCACCCTCCTTAAGAGGGACATGCCGGTAAGGAGTGCAAGAGGGGATTTCTTTGGAACTTAAAGAGAACCTGTCACTGCACAAATGCTCCGATGCCTCCGAATGCCCAAATGCTCCGATGCCTAGCCCGATACTTCCTGTATCAGGAAGCCAGGCAGCGCGTCATTACAATTGCATAACACATACAGGGTATCACCGCGCACAGCGAAGTGAGGGGAGTAATTCAATGATGAGCCGTAAAGTTTTTGAAGGCGTCATCTATGGACAATTTCGGGTTTCGCCATTTCGCGGGCACATGCAATTTTTTTAGCGCTTGACATACTTAGTATCTGAGACACAGAAAAAATGGTGATTTCAGTTGCGCAAATATCGTAAGACCTAAAAAGAATTGTAACTGCCATCTTTTTATTCCACGGGCCTTTCACTTCCCCAAAAATATCTACCATTTTGTGGGTTTTAAGTAACCTTCAGGCCAAAAATGTGCATTTTAAATTCTGTGCGGCCAATGAAAATGGCCCCCGGCAGTGAAAGGGTTAAACAGGCCCTTTGTGTTGAGGTTTCCTATCTCTAAATATAAACCTGGAGGGAGGGGCACTACTCCCAGAGCCGTTGGGACATGCCAAAAAAACTCTGTGCTATGGAATGGAGCTGGCTGCTATACCGGGGAATGGGGAAAGGGGGCAGAGGGGCTGCTGGGAAGAAAAGACTTAGAGGATCAGTTCACCCAAAGGTGATATTTCAAATATACAGTAAGTGGAGTCTGGAGGGCTGATTGCTCCCTTGTGGTGGCCATAGCAGGTAATTCAACAGTTTCTAAAATAATGCACCCAGGCACGGCACCCTTTCAAAGTATGCACCCCAATGTAAATGATCGCAGATAGTGGTCTGGTATGGATTTTATGGAGGTACCCCACGCAAAAACACAAAACATTGTGAGTTTCCCACTTCACATCAGAGTCCCCCTTTCGAATCCAGAGCACCCTTTCACATCAGAACCCCCCTTTCACATCAGAACCCCCCTTTCACATCAGAACCCCGCTTTCACATCAGAGGCCCCCTTTCACATGAGAGGCCCCCTTTCACATCAGAACCCCCCTTTCACATCAAAGGCCCCCTTTCACATCAGAACCCCCCTTTCACATCAAAGGCCCCCTTTCAAATTGGGAACACCCCTTTACATCAGGGGCCTCTTCAAAATCTGGAGCACTGCTTCATATCAAAACCCCCCTTTCACATTAGAGTCCCCCTTTCAAATCTGGAACACGCCTTCACATCAGAGTCCCCCTTTCAAATCCAGAGCACCCTTTCACATCAGAACCCCCCTTTTACATCAGAGTCCCCCTTTCAAATCGGGAACACCCCTTCACATCAGAGTCCCCCTTTCAAATCCAGAGCACCCTTTCACATGAGAAGCCCCCCTTTCACATTAGAGTCCCCCTTTCAAATTGGGAACACCCCTTTACATCAGGACCCCCTTTCACAT